GATTAAGCACCATAGGGAGGGCTAAACATGTCGGAGGAGCATATCCAGGTGGAGTTCAGGCTGAAGCCATATTTTTACTTATCTATATAGTGGCTGTCTGATCTGACCAGTTTCTGCTAGCCTGGATGAGTGAGTTTGAACGTCGGTACATGATCTGTGCTTTGGACTGCAGGGGGAAGTTTTGTAGTGCTTTGAGCAGCGCTCCAGGTTCTCTGTATTTGGCTACATCAATCAGCCAAAACATTATGACCAGTGACAGGTAAAGTGAATAATGTTGATTATCTCCTTAGAGTGGCATCTGAAGGGGGGTGAGGTATATTAGGCAGCAGGTGAATATATTGTCCTTGAAGTTAATGTGATGAAAGCACAAAGCAAAATTGGGCAAGCGTAAGGATTTGAGCGACTTTGACAGAGGTTAATTGGTAATAATTAGACGACTGGGTCACAGCAACTCCAAAGCTGCAGCTTTTTAGGGATGTTCCTGGTCTACAGTGTTCAGGAGCTACCAAAATGCGTCCAAGGAAGAAGACACAGTGAATCATGACAGGGGCATGGGTTGCCAAGAGTCATTGATGTACATTGGGAGCTACAGCTGGCTTGTGTAGTCCAATCCAATAAAAGGGCTTCTGTAGTTCAAATTGTTAAAAAAAAGTTAATGCTGGTTCTAATAGGTGTCAGAATAAACAGAGCATTACAATCTTGATTTATTCAGTCTTGATGGTAGTAGGCTGGTCATATTCCCTGATGGTAGTGACCTCTTTTAGTAGGATAATGCCCCCTGCCAGACTGCAAAAATGGTTGAAGAATAGTTTAAAGTGATACTAAAGTGATCTTCTTTTCAGGTTCCCTGCTGGTGCTGCTTGCCTCTCCCTCCTGTCGGGTGACCCTGTAGCAAGCAGCTTGCTGTTGGGGCACCTGAGTAGGCACGCTCCGGTGCCGCTGCTCCATATGTCCATTCACACATGGAGCTTTGGCTCGGCCTCACCCACTCTCCTCATTGGCTCACTGGCTTTGATTGGCAGCAGCAGCCAATGGTTCCCGCTGCTGTCACAGCCAATGAGGAGATGGAGCCCTGGCATATCAAAGACTCCAGTGCACATCGTTGGATGGAGAGGGGGCTTAGGTGAGTATTGGGGGGTGCCGCTGCACAGAGAAGGGTTTTTTTACTTTCATGCATAGAATGCATGAAGGTAAAAAAACCTTCAGCCTTTACAACCACTTTATCTTTCAATATCTTTATTGAAAAATTGGTATACACAGAAATAGAAACATTGTCCACCTACATGGTGAGATGGGTTGTATAAACATATTCATAAAATATATAGGCATATGAAAAAACATTAGTCGATGATATTGTAAACAGGGAACACCATCCCCACAGGGAATGACCAGAGACTGTGGCCATAGGACAGGAGATGACCAGAGACTGCGGACACAGTACAGGAGATGACCAGAGACTGGGGACACAGTACAGGAGATGACCGGAGACTGCGGACACGGTACAGGAGATGACCAGAGACTGCGGACACGGTACAGGAGATGACCAGAGACTGCGGACACGGTACAGGAGATGACCGGAGACTGCGGACACGGTACAGGAGATGACCGGAGACTGCGGACACGGTACAGGAGATGACCGGAGACTGCGGACACGGTACAGGAGATGACCAGAGACTGCGGACACGGTACAGGGGATGACCAGAGACTGCGGACACGGTACAGGGGATGACCGGAGACTGCGGACACGGTACAGGGGATGACCAGAGACTGCGGACACGGTACAGGGGATGACCGGAGACTGCGGACACGGTACAGAAGACCAGAGACTGCAGACAGTAAAGGAGATTACCAGAGACTGCGGACCTTTGGGGAGGGAGGGGGAGCGGGTACCTGAATTTGACAGGTACCCGCTCCCATTTCGTGAAGTTGTCCTTCCTCCTTCCCGCGGCGGCTTCTGTGACAGCCGGGTGCCCAATGCGCGAGAAGCGCCGCACTTTGCGAATGGCCCGGAGCCTTCTGGGACCTGCCATGTTTCCCAGAAGACACCGGACCATTCACAAAGCGCGGCGCTTCTCGCACATGCGCAGTGGGCACCCGGCTGTCACAGAAGCCGCCGCCAGAAGGCTGGACCGAGGAACAGGTAAGGTCCTGCAGGAGAGAAGAGCAAAGCGGCCGGCCTGATATTCTGACATGGTGGCGGCAGAAATACCGGACTGGCTGCTTTACATTCGCTCCATAAGACGCACTGACATTTTCCACCCTTTTTTGGGGGGAAAAAAGTGCGTCTTATGGAGCGAAAAATACGGTAATTCCTGTCACCGTATAGATGAAGTTAAACATTCGGATCCAAAATCTATTCACTACCGGACATTTCCACCAGATATGGAACATAGTGCCCTCTTGTCTGCAGTGTCGGAAGCAATTAGGTGATACTGATGGATACATTTTAGCAAGGCGTGTAGGAACCAGATACCAGCGAAGTAGTGTTTTGTAATTGGATTCAATAAGAGCAATATTAATCGAAATCTTTGATAGAGTATGGGCCACATTCCGCCAAGTGTCCTGGTCTAGTGAGCTATTCAAATCCCTTTCCCATTGAGTCATATAAAGATAATTTAGTGAGTGGATCAACAAGGGAAGCATAAATAATGGACAAACGGCCCTTAATCATCCCAGTTGCCCCACAGGAGACCTCTAAAAGAGTGTGCAAGGTTCTACGAGTAATTTGAGTTTACTAGTGATAAAAGATATAATTTGATGGTAGCAAAACAATTCCCTGGAAGGTATCTGATACTTTGTCAAAAAGCACTAGAGAGAACGAGGACGAAGTCCATCCCAGAAATCTCTTTACAACCACTTTAAAGTGTTTACTTGTCCTCCAAAATCTCAAGATCTCAATCTGTGCGATGTTCTAAAAAAAAACAAATGCGATCCATGAAGGCCTCACATTACAACTTATTGACTTAAAGTATAACGAAGACAAGCCTATATTCTTTTTTGTTTTCAGTTTTGGGCAGAGTGGAGATGGATTAGACAGGTTTTTATTGCTGACTGTGCCCCTGTTAGAGAGATTTCACCCTTTGTATTTATCCTATTTACCATTATCACTGAAAGTGACAATAAAAGAAAATCCCACATTTTGGGTTGTCCCCAGAACCGGAATAGGGGGAAATTTTCCAGTGGGGATACTTGTTCTGGTGACCTTGGGATTTCCTCTTACTTCCTGTTTTGGTTATTGGACAGGAAGTGAAGGTAAATTTGCCCAATGGGACACAGATTGCAAAAAAAAAAAATTGACCGGGGTTATAACCCGCCTTTTATCCAAAATGTAAAAACATTTTGCCTATAGTTCTACGTGAAAGGATCTGCTACTGATAGTTTGGTGCCAGATACCACAGTATATGTTCATACCTCAATTGGTCAGGGCTGTTTTGGTAGCAAAAGAGGGATCTGCTCAATATTAGGTGGGTGGTTGTAATGTTATTGCTGATTGGTGTATAATCAGAGTAGAAGGTCCCATTTGTAATCCGACATCAAGTTTGCCCAAAAGACAAATTAAATGATATTTTTGTGGTGAGAGCCAATTTACACATCACATTACACAACTCAGACTCTGCAGATTCAGATCTCTATATGATCTACCTGCTCCATGCTGGGAGGAGTTGTTCCACAGTGGAGAAGAAGCTCTGCCATTCTTTGCAGACACTGTTCAGACCCTATCCTGTATGTGGTGCAGTGCTCTGCAGATACTGCTTAGGTCTTATTCTGTACATTTACTGAAGACTCTACAGTAAATGTATGGTAAATTCTCACCAGAAAAAAAAACTGCACTAGTCCAGGGATCCCTGCTGTGTGCCAGCTGCCACTTGATGTAATGACTCTTGCTCTCATTACAGCTGCTCTCAGCATAGCCCTACCCTCCAGCCTCAGAATTTAGATAAAGCCTGAGGAGCATATCACTCCACCAGTCAATGACGGCTGGCACTTTTATCTTAGAAATCCTGGCTGCAGTGCCGAAAATGAAAAAAGTTCTGCTTACATGTCTGCTCTACCGCCACTTGGGGCAGCATGTGTCAGGGCACAGTGGGCCCACCTTCTTTTGGGGTCCCACGCACACTGCCCACATGGATGATATGCCACTGAGGTAGATAATTTGTGTCTGCAGTAATTCATTATGGTTGTTTTAAAATGTATTAGCTGTTGCATATTTTTGACTATGTAGCAGTATCCTGTTTAAATTCAAATTAATCCAAATGTCACTTTTTTTTTTTTTTTTTATAGTTCTTCCTATGTGTTTTTGTTTTAGATCTTACAATTACTATACTTATGTATATATAGTGTTGGTCTGAGCCATCCATAGCTGAACCATATGCATTCCCCTACCAAGGTTTTGTTAAAGGTTGGCATGGAACTCAAATGATCATACTGAGAAAGCACCAGATGGTGTGAAACGCGTAGGAGTATTCACATTTGTATTCATATGCTGTATCGAGCTGTTGGTATTATTGACTGAAATAAAACATACTGCTAGTGTGTAGTCATGCCATCTTTTTGAAACTACAAAATTGGGACTTGTCTGGAGACAGACTTTAGGCTTCTTAGAGTGATATGATGCACGCGGTGTACATTTAATATCCATATTCATAAGGCACAACATAATGTAACTAGGTTATGTGGCTGACAGTACTAATCACCTTGTGAGAAGCTTATCAATTTTTCCTTGAAACAGAAGTCTACTTTTTAAAAAAACAAAAAGCATCTTTTACCCTTTTCTTTTTAGGAAATTATTTCAGGCTTTGTTGTCTGTCCATCTATTGTCACCCACAAATATACTGCCCTCTTCACCTCCTTTTAACCTGAGCACACTGCTTGCCCTTTTATCCAAGACTCTTTGGTAGGTTCCTGAAGTTGTAACTTGCTACATCATACGTAGTTAAATGCGCTTTAAATTGTTCTGCTTGATTGATCAGTCACTCACTTTGTTTTCTTGCTTGTTTCAGGCTTGTTCTGCCTCTTATCTGCAGGGAAATGGTGGAACTGTTGGACAAGAGTAATTCGGTGGTCAACCACACCAGTTTATCGAACTATGCATTTCTGTATGGAGTCTTCCCAGTGGCACCCGGTGTTGCTATATTTGCCCACCAGTTTAACTTGGAAGTAGAGATTGTGCGTATGAATAAAGATATCATTATAGAGCCTTATGATACTTTGCACATATTTTTAAGAATGTTTCTGGGGGTGTTTTAACTACTGATCCAGAATATTTGATGTTACTGTTTCTGAGAATCGTATTCCATCTGTTATGTTAATGACAATATACATTCCTTTCTTTCTAACTGTTAAAGCCGAACTCCAGGTTTACTTTCACTCTAAATAGTTAGTTTGGGACAAGCTGGCATATACTGACAATTTCCTTTACTAGTTGATGCAGCTGCTGTCAGCACTATATAAACTGTATGCAGCATCACCTACATACAGTATGCAGCTCTGTGTTTTAGCAGCAGCACAAGGACTTCCCATCTACTGCTAGCACATAATCAAATCAGGCTGAGTGCTTCTCAACCATTCACAGGAAGTATTTTTTATTTTTATTAGTGAATACAAGGATTGCTCTGATTGGTTAAGGTGGAGATCATGAAGTCATCTGCATGCCTAGCGATCTCGTCTATTTCAGAGGAAGCTTGGAATACCGCACTTTCATACAAAGTAATAGGGCTGCTCACTGCGGTTCTGCAAGTCTTCAAGATAGCTTTATGGAAACAAGTAAATTAGAAACTCCACCTGTTGGTTTCCTCTGATGTGCTTCACTCCCTACTGGCATAAATGCATAGTCTAATTTTGAGATTCATGTGAAAGGAGGGGGGGAAGGGACATGAGTGTCTGATCTGACTCATTAAGTTGTGTGTGTAAATGTTCAGAGGTTGAGCTCTGTAAACACGTTTATACATCAAAGTACCAAAGGAGATATAGGAAAAGTGCAAAACAAAAACAAAAGGCCTAATCTGAAGTCTTCTATAAATGTCTATAGATTTTTTTTTTTATCACCTAAAGGTTTGCGAATGTGTAGGTGATACAGGGTGCGTGCAGCTATAGTTAAGTATACATAGGGGCTGTTGTGCAAATTCTTTCTTTGTCACATTATAAGAATTTGTAGCTGAATTTTCACTGGAGACAGTCGGCACACCGAGACTCGGTTTATACCTGCTAAAGCTTTTAGTTCCATAACTAGTAAGGTTAAAAAAAGACTGTCCTTTCATTTTTAGGCTCTTGCTGTTTCTAGGACAATGGCATTTTCAGTGTTATAATCAAAATTTCTGTGACTTTTTTCTTTTGCCGCTTTGTTCTTGGTAGCTAAATGCAATATTTTGTTTAATGTATGTTTTCCTAAACAGTGTGAAGTCATTTTTTGACACAAAGTTAACATCAATCCAAAGAGCTGATCTCTACTTTTTTATGGAATAAAACTTTATTAGGTTTCAATAGGGAACATAGAGTAGTTACAACCATTAGGCCAATGGGAACGCTGTGCCAAGCCACAGCATAAGACAAAAGCAGCACATCAAAACAGGATTCTCATACTGTATATATTAAAGTAATTATAAACCCTCACCTTGTAAAACAACCCATTCAGGTTAAAATGGAAATGAAAAGTAAAACATTTGTGTATAGATAAAAAAAACATAAATACCTTTTTCATAATTGATCACATTCCCTCAGTTCTGAGCTACATAAGGATCTTAGAGAGCTGGGGGAGTAGAAACAGCATAATACTGAGCTTCCCAGTGAAAACCTGTGTCGGGGGGGGGGTGTCAGGACAAGTCTGATCATTGGAGAAGAGCAGACACTAAGCTGGAGAACACAGTGTGGTCAGTTCTCTAGCAGTGTAGTCAGTTTTTAATAGAAAAGCTGGCAGAAACACCAGGGATTTCACACAAAGGAAGCAATACATGGAGAACAGGATAATTTTTCATACAAGTATATGGTACAGCAGGCACATATCAGGAATATTAAATGTTGGGTTTATATATTCTTTAAGCACAAAGAAAGGTCCATACAGGAAGATCATAGAGGTTAGTCTCTGTCAGGGTGGGATGATAATGCAGGGGAATCATGTCATCTACTAAGATTTGAAGGATGGCGACTCAATCATCCTTCCAGGCTAGTAGGCTGTAAAAAGAGTGTCACCCACAGGAAAGGGGAAAAGAATCCCATGAAGGCGGAGAAGCCTAAGAGTTAAGTAAAAAAAAAAAAAAAAAAAAACAGCAGAAGATCAACAGATGAAAATAAAAGGCGTGGAGCAAGGCAACTAATCCCTACATTTTGTTTATTCTTTTTCAGATCACATCGGGTATGGTTATCAGTACCTTTGTATCAGCTCCAATTATGTATGTTTCAGCCTGGCTACTGACTATTCCTTCAATGGATCCTAAACGTTTAATGTCTTCTTTGCAAAATGTCAGCTTTGATATCGGCGTTGTCAGTTTGTTTGCCTTGGTGAGTTTACCATTGATGTTCAGTATGTAATAAATTTGTTGTGTTTTATTAAACATATCATGTTCACATAGCATGTCCTCTAATGATTGTTGCATTGTATTTTAAATGAAATGCTACTTTTGTAAGTTGACTGTTTTCTATCAAGTGATTAAATTTAATTGGAACTCTAGACAAACTACTAAGCTTACAGATGAAAATTTAAAGCATGTACAATGTTAACAGTCTTAGGATTTCTGTTCTGTTAAGCCAGTCATCTTATTTACATGCTTCTGTCACATTGCATAGCCAAGTGGCCAATACAACTATTTTCTGTTCCACTTTGTGTTTGCTACATCTGCCTCCACAGTGGATAATCATTTAGCAGACTAATGATGCTGATACAATGTAGGTTGGATAGGCAGGGGTCACCGGAAGCTTTTTACAGCTGAAATAGACAATAGTGATAGCACCTGTCTGTGTACACACACACACAATGGTACAGGTGTGTGAATCCTAGAACTGACTGACCTGAATTGTAAAACTTCAGCAGGTGAAATGTAAGTATGTAAATTTGTTTTACTTGTGTATTTTAGATTTTTTTTTTTTCTGGAGTTCTGCTTTAAAGTGCAGCTGCCATGCAGAAAATAGGTGGGATGCTGTTCCCTTCCTATACATACGGGTGCAAATATATATGCAAAGAAGGGAATCCTCTATTTAATTTAGTGTTTTGGCAGGGTATGTAATATGTGTTTGATACATCCAAATAATGATGGGTAAAACCCCAAAGTAGATAGGATCTTCATCTGAAGATGTGCAGTGGAATGGGAATGCACAGTGCTTCAAATGAGAGGGTGAATGGAGCAACTTCACAATTATATAATTTTATTCATTGATTCATTTTAATCATTTTTATATTTTTTTGCAGGTTTGGTCTCTTGCTGTTTTGTTATTGAGTAAAAAATATAAAAGACTTCCTCATTTACTGACTGCAAATCTGCTTCTGGCTCAAGTGAGTCTTTTATGGGCTTTTTTTTTTCCTTTATGTATGTTGTAATTATTCTCTTTGGAATATTTGGAAGGAGATCCAGATAGCACATTTTGGATAGTGCGACCTTTCAATGCAGAATGTATTAAACATTTTCCATACAGTTAGGCTACATGTACACTGGAACTTCCCTAGACATTAACTCTCCTGGTAGCAGAAAAACGCATGTAAACGTATCGCATTTAGCCACATTTAAAGCAATACTAAAGGTTAATTTTTTTTTTTTTTTTTTTGTAAAATAACACATGTCTATACTTACCTGCTCTGTGCAGTGATTTTGCACAGAGCAGCTTGGATCCTCCTCTTCTTGGTTCCCCCGCAGGCTCTCCTGGCTCCTCCTTTCTGTCAGGTGCCCCCACAGCAAGCAGCTTGCTATGGGGGCACTCGCTGCTCGGTGTCTATTCACACACGTAGCCGTGGTTTGGCCCTGCCCCCTCTCACTTCTCATTGGCTGACTGGGTGTGATTGACAGCAGTGGGAGCCAATGACTCTCGCTTGCTGTCTCAGCCAATGAGGAGGCAGAGACCTGGGACAGCCAAGGCTGTCATGCACATCGCTTGCTCTTGATGGGGCTCAGGTAAGTATTGAGGGGGCTGAGGGCACTGCTGCACTCAGAAGGTTTTTAAAGGTGAAAAAACTTGAGCCTTCACAAACATTTGGATGTTTATTCACTTCATTGGCTAGCGTACTTGCCGTTGAATTGAATAAACACCCAAATGCTGAATGCAGCTAGCACTTAGGAGTGTATTTACACATGTTTTTGCCACATTTGGCATTTTCTTGGCCAAAACGTTTCTCTCCTGAACGCAATCCTTTGTGTTCAAGAGAGGAGCGTTTAATTGCCGCTCAACTCTGCTGCTCCTAGAAACAGGTAAAAGCCTATGTGTGTTGAGTTCAGGGGCTTTGGCAAAAAAAAGTCAAAAGCTCCTAAACGCGCAGTGTGCATGAGGCCTCTAGTCTAAAGTTAAAAGTATTCGATCTGCTTCTTCTTAGGTAATGTTTGCACTGATTTTACTAAAGCTGATTTTCTGGGAAATTACCCATGTGTTAAAGTGCCTCCATTTTGCTTCTCCTTGGTTATAGCAACTAATCCAGGTATGTAGAATACCTGTTCCCCCACCACATGCTGTGGTTCCTCCCTGTGACTTATAGATCAGTACAGGACACACGGGTTGATGGGAAGAACAATGTGTAACAGGCGTTCAGTCTACCCAAATGTCAAGTGACTTCTATGGCCAGGGAGAAGCAAAGTGGTGTCTCTCCAAAACACCAGCTGCTGGAAAGGTAAGTCTAGAGCTTTGACAATTAAGGAACAGCAGCGTACTGATGCGGTCATTGCTGTGCTCTCTCTTTTGTGCTAGGCCAATAACACTGTGCAGAGACACACTGAGGAGGGCTTTATAGCTAATAAGGCACTAGTAGGAATGTTGTGCTGCCTGCTTTTACATAGGAACCTTGCTTTGAAATCTTTGAAAGGCTCACATTTAATTGTATTTGTTTTACATTTCTATCTGAAGCTTAGCTTGTTATAGTACTACTTTTGGTTTCCTGGAAGGGGCTAATAAACGTATACATCAACTTTATGGGCATGTCTGTTTCCTTTCTATTTCACATAATACCTTCATGGCCACATAGAGCTCTGCTCAGTCTTTTTAAGGGCTGCATCTCGCATGGTGATTTATGCCTCTTGGCAGACTTGTGTTGATGTAACCTTTTTAGTCAAGTGTATATATATATATTTTTTTTCCTCTAAAATGACTACAAGCCTCAGTGTGACACAGTGGAACATTCAGCAGTGCTTGTTAAATCTGTGCAATGCTGGCTGGTGCTACAAACACATTTCAGCCATTAATGTATACCTTATCATACTGAATCAAGGTGTGTTTTTATAAGGTGTAAATCTTCCAATGAGCATAAGCTTTTATGTGTGCTAATCCGATAAATAGTATAAAAGGCTGGGTGTATGGCCTAGTGCTATGTGATCTGTACCAAATGAACTTCTGCGGGTGGGTGCAAACTTTGAATTAACTCATCAACTTTGAAAAGGAGGAAACACTTTTTAAAGCATGTGGCTCTCCCTTATGCTTGACACAAAATCATATTTTGGTTTTATTACATTTTTTTTTCTTACTGGAGCCCTGGTGTCAGGATATATGGAAGTTTAGAATGGTGAGGGTAATCTCGCTGCTGGCTTCTGCGACAAAACTCAGTCCGCATTTCCTCTTGCTGCAACATTGCCTTATGGTTTTAATTGGTATTTCTTCTTTGTTCAGCTGATTGTCTGCATTGGAATGGTGTTATGGAACTTCATAATACATGAGAGAAATGTGGTGGGACAGATCCTAGTGTTTGTAATATTATACAGTGCCCTCTACAGTACATACTTGTGGACAGGTATTTTTTTATTACTTAATACATAGAATTCTGTGTGCGGCTCAAATTTTATTTCACATTTGTTAAAAGCATTGTACACTTTCAAATGTTTTTCTTTGTTTTAGCTAGGTATTTGTGTAGTTACTATTTTCCCTGTGTCGCTTGTTTGCCTTACCTTGTAATGATGGGTTTACATGTTGTGGCTGCAGTTTGTAGTGTCATAACTTCTATGTCTAAATATTCATTCACCTAGCTTGTCCCTATTTGCAAAAGGGATAGGCAACTTCTTGTTTCAAGGTCACACAGTGTCCAATGAATGCTTTGCCATTTCCAATGTGTTTTACCACATTAGCACTCCCACATTTGTGATGCAAAACTGCATAGTAATCTCTCTTTTAAAGGATAACTTCACCTTTTAGGAAAATAATAATAATAAATGCACATATTTTTGCAGAAGCTTGGAAAGCCATGCACCCGTGATCAGTGAGTCAGGGTACAATGTCAGGCTTCTGCAAACAAGTCCTGCACCTTTTAGCCCAAACCTGCATACGGGCTGTTGGTTACAAAGTATATTATATTGGAAATTTAAGCAACCATTGTTGTGAAACATGTTGCGTGTGATACAAAGGATGGTGGATCCCCTGCACCTGGAGGATAGGAAACAGCTGGTGTAACACCTATTGTGTTATATATTTACATAGTCCTCATAGATGGTGTTATTATAGAGGATCCCACCATTTAGAGTGCTTAGGTTTTTTACGTAGTTTTTTTTTTTTTTTTTTTTTTTTTTTTTTTTTAGTACTGTATTGTGTAAAGTGTTATGCTATTGTCATTATTAAAATGATTGTGTTTTTTATAATTTTTTGGTCTGGTATGTGCCTCCAAAGTCCATATTCCTAAATTTCCAATATAATGCACTGTAGTTCGGCCATGGCACTGGATATATACACTTGGCTGTACCCATGTTTCAACCCAATGGGTACTATACATTATACTGTCGGTTACAAAGCTGCAGGGCTTGTGAATGAACTACAAGGGCACACATCAGCACCCTCACAGTGTGAATTAAGGACGTGGACAGAGTCCCACATGGCTGCGCTGTTTTTTATTTGTGAGAGCAGATGCAGGGAGAAGATTCCAAGTCTGCTGTCATACTGAGGCAGAGATCAGGGGGAGAGGCTGCAGGAGCTGTAACATGTTACATGTTCCACCCTAAATTCAAGTGGAACATGTAACAAGTTCCAAAAGGCAAACTTATCCTTTAATTGCTCTGCCTGTTTGTTTCTGTACCAAATTTAATTACTATTTAGCTCTCACTTGCAGAGCACTAGACCTCGAGACCCAGGGACTGTGGGATATGTAGTCTCTTCACAGGAAAGAGGTCATGATTACCCTGTGCAGTACCATGTTGCATGCCTCGCATCTGAACACACTGAAACATCTGACACAGGAATCTGAAGAGTTACTCTACTATAGACTGTGAGTACAGGGCAACAAACAACACCATGACACTACATGATCAGTGCACATCCTATGCAGGTGAAAAAACACAAGGTGCAGGTTGGAGTGTTTATAATGCATTTAAAAAATATTGGCACTGTATTCACTGGTTAGATAATTCAGTTTCTGTGAAAAATAGTTTTTCTTATCTCACATACTTTTATATTTTTTCCACTTGTGCATGCAGACATTGCTGACCAGCGAAAGTGACAGTAACTGGAACCAACATAACATTTTCAGGAGTGTTTACAACAGTCACATTAAAAAAAAAAAAAAAAAACTTAAGAATTGTAAAAAAAAAAAAAAAAAAAAAAAACCCTAGACACTGTAGTCTGGCCCAACCTTGTGACTGTTACTTTTTCTGGACAGCTTGGTCTGTATATTCATTTAGTGAAGAAATTGAAACGAATGTATGTTTCATTTTAAAAAGACTCAATATATTATTACTTACAACATATATTTACCAGAATACAATGTTTTTTTTTTTTTTTTAAGTCTGTGCTTTAAAAAGGAAACGTCAGAATTTCAGATCTAAATAGTTCTAGAGCACAGTACAGCCTATTTTGCTCTTTAGTTATGTGTTATTTTAATACTGAAAGAATTATAAATTATATATAAATGTTGGCACATGATTTTATTTCCAGGTCTAATCTCGTTATCACTATTTCTACTAAAGAAGAGAGAATTTGGGAATATTCCTGTAGTGATAATAGCTTTAGCTGGTTGGGGGTAAGTATTCAGTAGTAATGTATTTGGACATGGCATTTGTTGCGTATATGTGATAAAGGTTTAGGGGGAATTCCACTGATATTGGAAATGGACTGGGCTGTAGTAACTTTTGTTGAGCAGAAAACAATTGCCTTTGGGTGATCTATGTACATTGCAAGTATATTAACAAACTCCAGCAGTGAGGAAGTCTGGGATCAAGTCTGCTGCTTATAAATATTATTGAGGGAATCCATTTTGCTTGAGGTGATTGTAGCCGTATTAGTGCATTTGCGACAAACAATTGAGTACTGTCCGTGATACTGTTTTTTTTTTTTTTATTTGCACTAACATACAATTTTGAGGACAAGCTTTCGGGGAGTGTCCCCTTCTTCAAGGTCCAAGCAGTACTGCTTGGACCTTGAAGAAGGGGACACTCCCCAAAAGCTTGTCCTCAAAATTGTATGTTAGTGCAAATAAAAAAAGTATCATGGACAGTACTCAATTTATTGAAGGAATCCATAACTGATCTTTGGTATCCGTCAGGTCCAGGAAGAGATGCATGAAGCTAATGTTGTGTGACCCAATATGTAGGTTTAATAGAAATAAATTGTATTGTGGGTGTTGTTCGAATTTTTTTTGTTTTTGTCCAACCAGCATTCCTGTCTTAATGGTGTGCGTCCTTCTGAGTGTAGGAGAACGTGATCTAGACAACATTGATTCTGCTTTCTTTTATGGAAAGTCTCAGGTAAGACTTTAAGATAAAAATAAGGTAATTAAGTAATTGCATCTCTTTAAAAAAGACACGGACTCTTTTTTGCACATTTAGGGCAAAGTCAGTGTGTTTAAGGAGGCCCTTTGCCCACTGATACCCACCTTTCCAGTGCCCTCTTGCAGCTCCTGTTGTTGGCTCAGGGGTGCATAGGGAGCACGTGACTCCCTACCATGTGACAGTGCTCAGGTCAAGCAGCCGAACTCTAGACCCAAGCATGGTCACACGAGGTAGGATGTGACATTACTGCTGCCCTTAGTGTCTAAACGTCAACTAAAAAAATAGGGATTTTGGTATCAGTTTTGATGATGGAAGATGGAGTCGGAATTGTTTGCAATGTGAGTATCAGTGGGTGGGGTAGGGGTAGACAAAGTGACAGTGTCTTTTTTTTCAATCATTTAAACCAATAAATTGTGTGAGGGGTTGCAAATAGGAAGGGGGTGGGGGGGGGGATGTGTAACTATTCTAGTAATGCCTCTTCCATACAATAACACAATGTTTCTCCCTACAATATGAGGAGCTTGGGTCAGAGTGAGGGTTTAAAAAAGAAATGGTTATAATCCCCACAGCTGAATAAAATATAACATTGCTTTTCTCTGTTTTGACACAGATTATCAGCACAGCAGTGATTTTGTCTGTTAGTATACTGCTGTCTGGCGTTTGTCTTATGTGCATGAGTAGAAATGGACAAGATGGCAATTACCAGGTGCTGAATCAGTCCTCCCATAGCAGCAGTAACAGAACAGCAGATGTTACATTTGAATCCAAGCCAGACAGTCCTGTGGGATCAAGTACACCCCCTACTTTTAGATCAGGTACGCAAATGCTTTATGGCAGTAAACAATGTTCATTGGTATAGTTAAAAACTAATTTACATGTATTACTTATGTTGGTCCAAAATATTCTGCTGCAGTTCAGAGAGGCCAGAGAACCATTCGCATCCATTTTCTTTCAAAAGCATATGATGTAATGTTGTACATACGCATGAAAATTTGGGTGGGTGCTAATTAACCTACCTGTATGTATTTCAAGAGTGGAAGGAAATCGTTGTACCCAAAGAAGTTCCACACAAAATAACTCAAACACCATGCAATTGGCGCCTGGTGGAAATTAAACCCAGTTCATGGTACCCCATAATTTGCATTTTGTAGGTCTTTAGGTGTTCAAAAGCAACTTTACATATCTTTTGTATAGTAGTCCCTACCACAGCAGCAGGATATAGACTTGACTACAACACACATAAAAACAGGTGACTAGTACCAAAATGGAAAAATACAATATAGGAAATAATGAAAAAAATATTGTATGTCTGGGGGAGACGTCGGTGTACTAATAAACCAACAAAAATAAAAAGTGACCTGACTTTGACTTCCAACCCCTTACGAAAGAGAAATATAAAAAATGCACTTCTCTTTATTAGTAACATTAAAAGCATGAGCAAAAATAAAAAAATTCTTGGCCAAGAGTCAACAAAACTTCTGGTACCAGTAACTTCCTCTAAATGTAAACATCCAATATGTATAAACAGGTTATTTGAAAAGGCTGATAATGGATCCACTTATAAATCAATGTCCATATGTATCAAACTAAAGGACACCATAGTACTAGACACAGTTATAACGCGGCCATTTATAGCGTGGGTCTGCCACATCCATATCCATATGGAGAGACACTAAAGCCATCAGGCCACTGCCAATATACAGTGTGTATATTGACACCCCTTATGAATAAGTCCAGGAAGTGACAAAATGCATCAAGGGACGTGACGTCGGATGCTACCAGAGGACAAGAAGTAACGGAGCGGCCATTTTGAAAGTTGGAAAATAATACCTGGCATTCCTGGAAGCTGCTTCGAGGTTTGGAGTCATGGGAATAAGGCGTGTTTTTTTTTGCTGTTTTTATGTAAGGGCAACCAATAAAGTGTTTTTTAATATCTTTAATGGAATTACACTATATGGGTCTATTCCTCTTTCCTATGTAAACTGTGGAGCATTGGTACTATGGAGTACATGCACTGAGGCTTTGAATGCATCTATGGAAACAATACTGAACATACCCTCTGCTGGATTAAAGTGTGTTTTTTAATATTTATTTGGTAAGGGTATTTAATTCAGACACTTTAGAAGTGCGCAATGAATGCCACTGGAAATGTATAATAATTTTATTTGTTATTGACTATTGATTCACAGAGTGATACACTATCACGGTTTTCACAAGTGTTCACAATCACGTATATATTTGGAGTGACTAGTGCACATATGTTACATTATTAAGGATTTAGTTTATTAATGGTAATGCACTTTTGAGTTTTCCTTGTTTTGAGGTTCATGTCTTCTTTGGAGCCATTCAGAGGGCTCGGCAGAAAGATTTGGAATTTTCCTTTTGGGATCAGAATTTTGAGTGACTTTATAATTTATGGACACTGGTGACTGATATGTTTTTAATAAGACTGGGACTTTATTGACTTCCACTTTTATTAATAATTACTTTTTGGAGTATTTATGTGGAGCACATAAAAACACACACACACACACACCTACACACACACACACACACACACACACACACACCTTCATGAGACTTGAGGCTCCACCCGTTCTGCCTGTAATAATACCGGTACATAGAAGCAGTCCACACATGGAAAATAATTTTCAGGATGGGTCATAGATTAAATGCCGTACAGTTAACTGCAAAATACAGGTAAATTGAGCTCCACTCAGACTAAGCCAGATAGTGACCCCAATTCCTGATACACAAGAGTATAAATGTGCACAGGAAGCCAGGGTGTCCACATAAGGAAAGGGGCAGACCATATAGTTATCAGTCCCAAATGCGTATCATCCTGAGGGGCTGACTGGTTTCGCCGGTACTAACTGGCTGCGTCAGAGGCTAAATGGCTTAATGCCTATTCCTCAGACTTCTACTTCCATATGGGACTTTGTATATCTACACTACGGGTGGAGCTTGGTTACTTGCATTCACTATGAAACATGGATTTAATGTCTTCCCATATGGATGTGGCAGACTTTCGCTATAAAAGGCTGATTTAAAACTGTCTAGTACTATGAACTCCTTTTAGTTTGATACATATGGACTTTGATTTACAAGTGGATCCATCATCAGCCTTTTCAAACTACATATTGGATGTTTTTGTTTAGAGGCAGTTACTTACACCAGTAGTTTTGTTGACTCTTGGCCAAGGTTAATAATTTTTTTTGCTCATGCTTTTAATATGTTACCAATAAAGAGAGTTTATATTAATATATTTCTATCTGGACATGTTATGCTATTTTGTTGATTTATGTTGGGTAAGGGGTTGGTAGTCAAAGTCGGGTCACTTTTTATGGTGTTTTAAGGATATAGACTTTGCAGACCCAATGTGGTCCTTTCAATAGAATGATGCTTGAGGTAGATTGTTGTATCTGAATGCATGAGCTGCATTACTAGGCTTGGCTGTTGCTCCTGCAGAAGTTTCATTTTCCAGTGTAGCTGCTTGGTGAGAGCAGATGAGTGGGGGAAGAGAAAATGCAGCTTGAATCCACTTTTTGTGTAAAATAAACTGGTCACAAACATGAGCATATGAAATGCATTACCAGAGGTGCCTATACTGAAAGAAACAAAATGCCAAAACCATGAGTAGATCTAGATATATAAGCATTTAGATTATTTTGTAAATACCGCCTTTTCCTGAAAAAGTTGAGTTTGAGCCTTTCTCTCCTACCCCACCTCCTAAATCTCCCAGTTGGTCAGTGAGCAATAGAGAAGCTTCATAACTGAGGCTGTGTGTGACCAAGTTTATCTTTTTCAGGCATTCACCTTTGTGTCTAGATCTGCAGATCATTTTGTGCTGCGGTTTTCCTATCATAAAATCATTTTGCATTGTAATCTTAATGATCAGTCCACCTTAAATGAATCTGTTTTGAGCAATTGATGCCAGGTTGTTGAGGTATGTTTTTGTTTCTTGAGACTCTGGTGACAAGATCTCTGCATATGAATTTCAAATTCCCCGATTTTGGGACCATTCCGAGCAGTAGCACCTCACCCTTGTGAACGTTTTACATAATAAAAGCGGAAAGGATGATTGACATTTGGTAGTGGTGATTGTGGTGGGAATTCCACTTAGAAACTTGTGTCTAGAATCCCTGAAACTTGTACAAAGCAAGTAGGAGTTTTTATGGTACAGAAATATTACGTAATTGTTAACTCTGGCATGCTGTGGACACATCAAATGTTAATTAGAAAAAGTTCACTGAGAAGTGTGCTATAACACTAACAAAAAATCTGGTAATTCCAGGAAATCAAAAACATATTATTGTACCTGAGAAAATTGTATTGCAGGGAATTATGTGAAAAATACAGTAGGCCTTTCTATTGCATTGGCTGCTGTGCAGTAATAACAATGCGTGCTGTCTCCTCTGTACAGAGATGTGTACATGTGGTCAGGAGAACGGAAGTGTGTGCCAGCCTGTGGACTCTGCAAATGTTCTGCATACAAATGAGGCTCCCAACATAGAGGAAGGTACAGTATGCAGACTGTCATGTTTACACTCTAGCTAGAAAACCCCTGCAGATTTATTCTGTTTCTACATGTCTATATCTCCTTTTATGCTTCATTTAACTAAAACATAATTGTTTTGCTAGGAATTTGAAAATCTGGTGCATTCTAAAAGTGGTGATAAATAAGATAACCTTTTTGGGGGGAGACATTGCAAAGAATATATAAACATAAAGCAAGATTTGGTTTTAAAATGAGGAACTCTAATCAGCTAAAGGTTTCTTCCAGTCAAAATTGAAGGGTATATCTGAAAATCATACAAAGGATATAGCCTACATGTTTGGGGCTTATTTTTCCCCATACCTGAAACGCGTTAGCCTTTTTAAGTCCAGTCAAAATTTGAAAATGAAGTGCTGGATACATACTAATATTTTTTTCTAATCTTTTTGCCTTTTGTTTATCAAAATTTTTCTTATAGATA